CAGAGACAGGACCAATGAGGAAACTACAGGAAGATTAATTTTGGCTCTACCTAAGGAGGAACTTGGTAATGATGATAGCTACGCAAATGGATTGCTTGTGTTAGTAAATTGCGAGGGCCCTCTTGCCGGTATGACTGAGACAGTGGCAATAGCTAGGGCAAGAAAGAGTAAAGGATAAACTGGGACATGGCAGCAGGAAGCAGGGGATTCACTATGCACGAACACCCCCTCCTGTCCTTGACACTCAGCTCAGTAAACTACAGCGAGCATGTTATGTATGGAGTAACACCCCTCAATTCCTTTTTGCGGAAGCACTGCCCAACCACTGGTGGTAAAAATTTCATCTTGCAGACTCAAGCTTCCTATCCAGAAGCAGTCTCAAATAAATTAATATCAGACCTAAAAACTGCATCGTTTCCAGAGTGGGAACTGGAACTAGTGTTCTGACCTATGCCTACTTTCCAGGGTGTCTGAGTTAAGCCTTAGGATGCTCCCTGGGTGCCCACAATGCCGCAGCCTTACCTCCCAATCACCGCAAGTGCCAATCACAACTGGCACTGTCTAGTTCATTGCTGATCACGCACTGTGTTCCAGGCACTGTGCTAGGTGCTGACTATGTGATAATGAAAGTGTATTCCGTTAGGATACAGATTTTTGTCTGAAAACAGTTCACTGATGTATTCCCAGCACCTAAAACGGTGTCTGGCACAATGTAGGTCTCAATAAATATTTGTTTAATTAATGGCATAGGCTCTGCCTGTAAGTTGCTTGAATCTAATGTACAGACAAGCGTAAGCACTGACAATTCCAGTATAATGCGGCAAGCGTAATTATGGGAAGCTCACAGGAAGCACAGAAGGGGGGAGCACCTTCCTTAGCCTTGGGTTTTTGGTATGCATTCTGGTTCCCAACTAGCACGGGAGCCCAGCCTGAATCCAAATCTGCCTGCCAACCTGCTGGCCTTTGCCATGCTTCTCTACCTGTAAAGCTGAACCGCGTCACTCTACCTCAGTCTACTACCTTCAATCGAGGCAACCCTCTTGGCTGCCTTGGGACCCCTCTGCCATCAAGGCACTGCCACCACCATGACCATGAGTCAATGTTGCCCCTAGCAGAGGTAGGCACTTCCATACCAGGTCAGAGTTCCTAGAGAGGTGGACGCCAGTCCCAATTGTACCTTATTAGACATTGTGTCTTGGACAGCTGGACGAGCTCTTTGAGGGAAAGGCACACTGCCAAGACAGTGCCTCTAGCACCAGCCACACTCCTGCCCCTGTGCTGGCTGCCTTAGGGTCCCAGCGTGACTCACAGGATGTTCAGGCAAGTTCTCTAGGAATTAACAATCCAGCCACCAGCCCCGCTCACTGCCTTTCCAGCATGTGTTACTGCAATACTGAAATGTCATCACAGAGAATGGGGAAAGAGCGTGAGTTTGAGCCCCAGACAGCCACTTTGCCTTTTGCATAACTTTGGACAAGTCACTCAAATTCTCTGATTTTCCATCTCTCCTTTCTTTTTGTATTTTGCCCTATTTTGACATACAGACATATTTTGACATGTTTTGACTTACAGAAAATTTGCAAGAATAGTACAAAGAATTCCCAGAAACCCTTTATCCAGGTTCCCAAAATGTTAAGTTTCTGCAGTTGTTTTACCCTTTCTCAATCTCTGGGTGTGTCTATATACGCATACACTACACATACCAATTTTTTTCAGAACCACTTAAGAATAAATTGCAGACAGCATGCTTCTTTCCCCTAAACACTTTCATGTACAGTTTCTAAAAAACAAGGAATTCTTTAACTTACCACAGTACAATTTTTAAAACCAAGATATTAACATTGAAACAAATACCATGACCTAATCTGCAGACCTTATTGAAATTTTATCAATTGTTCTAAAAATGTCCTTTACAGCAAAAGAAAATCCCAGATGATGCATTTCATTCATTGTCATGTTTTTTAAAGTCTTCTTTAATCTGGAAAAATTTCTGAGTCTTTCTTTGGATTTCATGATATTGGCATTTTTGTTAAAAAAAAAAAGTTATCTTGTAGAATGACCCTAAATTTGGGTTAGTCTGATGGATTCTCAAGGTTAGATTCGGATTATTTGCTTTTGGCAGGAATGTAGGGAACCGAAGCCAAATAATTGTCGGTGCACCATGCAGGAGGTACGTGCTGCTGCTGAGTCCCGTGACTAGCAATGCTGACTTTGATCATTGCCTAACGTGGTATTTTCCAGGTTTCTCTGCTGCAATAACAGTTTACTCTTTGTATTTAAGGAAAGATCTCGTGGGGATATCCATTTTTCCTTAAACAAGATGAATTATTTATTATAATTGCTGGCAAATGTTGATTTTTACAGTTCCAACATTCTTTCTAGATTTATGAGTTGGCATCGCTCTGTAAGGAAGAGTTTCCTTTTTTCCCCAATTTGTTTGCTTGTTTGTTTTTTTGTTTGTTTTACTTTAGACTCATGCAATCTTATCTTATTAATTCAATTTACTCTTTCTTTTGATTCTCAAATTGTCCCAGGTTTTGTCAATGAGGGCCCCTTCAGGCTGGCTCTTTTATGTTTTTTGGTATGTTCCCGCCATCTTTTGGTTACTTTCTTACTCTTTGGTACTACAAGATGTCCCAGACTTATCTTGCTCTTTCTGTAATCCCCAACACCACTCCCTGCCCCCCGTCAGCCATTTTCCAGAGGAAACTTGGCTTCTTTTAGTGAAGAATGGTATGTAGAAAACAAGAGTTGGTGCTAAGAGGTGAAACCCAGTGTTGCTGGGGTTTCATTTCTTCTATGTCCTCTCAGAGGACAGACCCGGGGGGCTGTCATCTATATTTAATATATACAGTGGGCAGCTATAGGCACAGACACACACACATATACAAACCCACACCCATGTATATACATTTGTATCTACTTGTCTATGTCCCTGTGAGTTCACTCTGGTATTTCCGATTTCTGTCTGCTTTCCAGATTTATCACCATCTTTTCCAACAGAGAGAAATCTGGCCCCTGTTATCAACAATATATGTATTTATTTATTTGTTTGACCCTATAATATAGAAAAAGTAATTTCAGAATTACTAAGCTATGTTTCTGGAAAAAAAGATGAAAAGAGGTCTACTATTAAATAATTAGAGTTCAGTATTTGTTTAGAGATCTCTTTGTCTTTAGCATGAAGGGAAATAATCTAGATATTGTGTTCAAAATTTGCTTGAGTTAATTTTCCCCCCTCGAGTGTGATTATGTTATTCATTTAATTTATGTAGTTCAGTTCAGTTATTTCTGTTTGTATTCAGTTTTAGGGTTCCCCTCCTTACAAATGTGATTTATTGTCCATTTTGAGCATGTGAAACATTATGTGTTAAATTGTGCCTGCCCTGCCCCCGATTTATACGTTGAATTTCGTATTCCCAGCATCTCAGAATTTAACCTTACTTGGAAATAGGGTCATTGCAGGTGCAATTAGATAAGTTAAGATGAGGTCACACTGGAGTAGGTGAGTCAATATGATTGGTGGGACACCAATATGACCAGTGTTCTTATAAAAAGGGGGATTTGGACATAGAGACATCCACACAGGGAGGATGCCATGTGAAGATTGGAGTTTTGCTGCTACTAGCCAGAGAACTACCAGAAGCTAGGAGAAAGGCCTGGAACAGATTCTTCCCTTGTGCCTTCAGAGGAAGTGTGGCCCTGCCAACACCTTGACCTTGCACTTCTGGCCTCCAGAACTGTGAGACAATAAATATCTGTTATTTAAGCCACTTAGTTTCAAAAGGCTTTAAAAGTCAGGTCTATAGAATAAAAAGTATATTCAGAGAAATGACCCTCCCCCATTTTCTTTATACTTTCTACTCAATTCTCACCATGCCCAGTAGGTACCAACATTTTAGTCTCTGGCTTTTTCTTCCTGTGTTTCTTTTCACTCAAGCTAGTAGTTCAATGTATATATTTTTATTTTTTCTGGAAATCACTCCATAGTAGCTCACACAGACCTTCATTTTTTATGGCGGCATAGTACTCCATCGTGTGGATGAACCATAGTTTATTCAACTAACTCTCACAAGTGTGGACATTTAGGGAGTTTCAAAATTTTCAAATGCAAATAATGCTGCAATAAATAATCTTGTGCATTTATATTTTTGTGTTGTTGAAGGTATATCTTTAGAGTAGATTCCTAGAAGTGGGATTATTTGATCAAAAGGTAAATGTACACATAGTTTTCTTAAGTATTGTGAAATTTCTCTCCATAAGGCTGCATACCCTTCAACAATATATGAGAGTTCCTGTTTTTCCACAGCCCGATCAACAGTATGCTATATTTTTTTGATGTTTGCTAATTTCCTGACAAATTATATATGCATATAGTCTTAATTTACATTTCTCTTATCATGAATGAGGTTAACCATCTTTTCATCCATTTTTATGTCCTTTTTGTGAATTGTTTGTTCCTGTCTTTTTCCCCATTTTTCATTTGGATTTTTAAGAATCTTTTTAGTCTCAATTTAGAAGAATTTTTTATATATTACAAACATTACCCCTTTCTTCTGTGTGATACATTGTAAATATTTTTTTCCACTTTGTCAGTGGTCTTTTGACTTTGTTTATGATACTTTTTGCCATACAGAAGTTTTTAAATTTTTACATAGGCAAATTTATCTATTTTTTATGACGTCTGGATTTAGAGTCTTAGAAGGCCCTTCCTGGGTTAAATGGAAGTTCACTTGTACTTTCTTACTGTACTTGATGGTTTCATTTCAATTTGAAGTTTATTCTTATGTGTCATGTGAGGTATGGATCTAATGCTACCTTTTTTCAAATGGCTACCTGTTGTCCCAGAACCATTTATTAAAATTTACTCTTTGCCTTAGTGATTTGAAATGTTCCCTTTATCATATGCTACAGTTTCATTTCTTTCTGGATTTTCTATTCTATTTAACTTTGTCTATCAACATCCACTAGTAAATTTATAGAAAGTTTTGGTTTTTTTTGCTTTTATATTTGCGTTTATTCATTTAACTTTTAAAACACTACTATAGTTGAATATTAAAAGAAACACAATAGCAAGTAGTGAGCATATTATAATTATAGTCCTTCACTCATTCACTACTGCACATAAAATGCCAGCAGTGAGTGTCATTCACTGGCCTCATTAAGAGGTTTGACACTGAACACTACCTCTGGGATGATGTTCATCATACTCATATGCTTCTCCATTGTAATGGCGCCGTCGTTCCTGATTTGGATTAAAGTCCACCAGTTCTACTTGATCCATTTCATCAGTCTCTTCTAATTCCTTCCTCTTGGGTAGGAGTTTTTCCAGCAAAGACAGTTTATCAGGGGAAAGAAAACCATTTTCAGGAAAATTTACCTTAAATTCAATGATTAGGCGACCCTTTTCATATGGTCTACGATAAATTGGCATACCTTCATTTAGCACACACTTGGTATCTCCATGCTTGACAATTTGACCTGGATGAGAGGTGATGACTATGGTTCAGTTGTCAAGAGTAGATATTGGCTTTTGGAAGCCACATAATGCTTCAACCAGCTGTATGTCCATACACATGAAAAGCTCTTCTCCTCGTCGAGTAAAAACAGAATGGTCCTTCTGATCTAACACAATGGTAATATCTCCTGGCTCTAGTCCTGGTTCTTTGTCTCCTTCACCATGAAATGTTATCTTCTGGCCATCTTTCATGCCTTTGTCAATATGAACTTCTAGAATCTTCTTTTCCTGAACTATCTTCCTTCCATTGCAGCTTTTACATCTATCTTTAGGACTGATCCGTTCCCCATGGCCCTGGCACTCCATGCACACAGATTGAATTTGTTGAACCATTCCAGGTCCTATCTGATGCATTCTTATTTGCATTCCAGTACCTCGGCAATTGGGACAGCACTCTACTGCTCCTTTCTTACCATCTCGGTCTTCACACTTGTCACAAATTACATTCTTCTGCAGAGCCAGTTTTCTTGTTGCGCCATTATATAAATCTTCTAAGGTTAAGAGCTGACGCACAACATTTTCACCTCTCCTTTCTCTTTGCATCTTTCCTCCTCCTCCAAAAAACATATCAAAGATGTCCATGGGGGAGCCAAAACCACCACCTGCTCCACCCTCTTTAATTGCCCGTTCTCCTCCTTTGTTATAGAGTTCCCTTTTCTTTGCATCAGAGTGAACTTCGCAAGCTTGAGAAATCTGTTTAAACTTCTCTCCTCCATCTGGATTCTTATCAGGGTGGCACTTCAAGGCCAGTTTCCTATAAGCCTTTTTCAACTCTTCGTGAGTGGCATTGGGTTTGATCCCCAAAAACATCATAGTAAGTGGTTTCTTTCACCGTTTTCTACAGCTGGTGAGCGGGTTGAGGCCGACGTGGAGGACCGGGAAGGAGCACGTAGCTGTTTGCAGCTTAAGCAGCCGCTGCTCCTCTGCCTCTCACCGAGCGATCTAGAAAGTTCCCTAAAGTAAGTTTTAATAACTGGTAGAGCTAGTATTCTCTCACAGCTTTTTTGAAGTGTTTTTCTGGCTATTTTTGTGTGTTTATTTTTCTATATGAAGCTTGTGGGGTTTTTTTTAGTGGGATTGCATTAAATTTATAAATTTTCTTAGAAGACTGACTCATCATCATTTTAGTGATGTTGAATCTTTCAGTCTAAAAATTAGAATGTTTTTCTGTTTATTCAAGTCTACTTTTATGTTGTTCGGCAGTGTTTAAAGTTTTGCTCATATAGGCTTTGAAAATTTATTGTTAAATTCATTCCTAAATACTTTATCCTCCTTGTTGCTAATGTAAATGGGGCTTTCTCTGCCATTATGTTCTTTAATGGATTATCAGTTGTGTAAATAACTGCTACTGATTTTGGTATGTTAATTTTATAGCCTGCTATGTTACTAAATTCTTTGATTGTTTGAATTTTGCCACTGATTCCCTAGGATTTTCCAGTTATATGATCATAACATCTGCAAATAGAGATAATTTTATTTCTTCTTTTTCAGATCTCATGCCCCTACTTGATTTCTTTTGCCTAATTGCATTGGCTGGCATTGCCAGTAGAATGTTGATAGTAGTGGAAATAGTGGCCAGCCTTGCTTTGTTACTCTTCTTAGTATTTCTCATTAAGTAAGATGCTGGCTTTAAAACTAAGGAATATATGTCTTATCATGTTAAGAAAGTATTTATCAATTATTATTTTCTTGAGTATTTATTATTAGAAAACGGTATTGTGCTAGCAACTAATATGTCATGGAAAAAAAAGAAAAGGGTATTGGTTTTTCTAAGGCCTTTTTTTCAGCATCTATGGAGATAATCATACTATTTTTCTCCTTCAAAATTTTAAAATTGCATACTATACTGATGAATATTCTATTTTCTAAACAACTTTGCATTTCTGAGATAAATCCTACTTGATCATGTTGTATACTTTTAAAAGTGGAGTTGGATATTTCCTATTATTTAGAACATTTTCATCAATATTCATAAGTGATATTGGGCTGCAATTTTCTCTTTTTGTACTGTCTATCTCAGGGTTAAGTATTAATGTTATACTTGCCTCATAAAAAATGACGATGTTTTTCTTCATTTTCAATGCTCTGCAACATAAAACAATGGAGCATTGGGACTGTCTGATCTTTGAAGGTTTGGTAGTGATTTTCAGTCTCTCCAGCACAAAATGGAAACAGTTATAAATTCTACGGAGTTGTCAGATCAATTAAGTTGATGGACTTGGAAGTGCTTTACAAACAGCACATCTCTAGTCACATAGTGATTATTATAATAGAGGTAAGAACAAAGTATGATGCAGAATGATGCAGAATGGGTAATTAAACCTCTCTCAATTGGAAAGAGGTAGATACCTGAGAAGGTTTCACAGAAATTATCTTTTAGTTCAGTTTTGAATGAAGAGTAACATTTTACTGAACCAAGAAGTAAATAGTCCAGAGAAAGGAAAGAGCGTAAGTAAAGAAATTGAAACCTATGATTGCAAAATTTACCATATCCATGTAATGATATCCAGTTGACACTTTGACATAAGTTAATTTCTCTGATTCTTTGAGGAAGGTAGGGTAGATGTAATTCCCATCTTAAGGTCAGAGAGGGCAATGACTTCACAGGTAAGTGACAGAGCCTAGCACAGGTCCTGGCACAGAGTAGGTGATTGATAAATACTGGGGGCATTTTCTAATGGTACAAAACCACAATAGGATTTTGTTTCTTTTTGCCCTTCCTTCTGTTTCTCTATTATTTTTGTGTATTATGCAATTAATCAATTATTACCAATGTATAGTGTTGTTTTACATAATATCATATTGCCCATCCATTGTTTCATTTGTGTTTCTTTTATCTTCAAAACTACACTGTAGCTCCTTTTGGTAGGTAAAGTAGGCATTTGCTGCTTGGACTCCTTCTTAACAGAAACCCAATTTTCATTCTTGTACCTGCTTCTTCAAGTAGCTCATGGGTTTCAAGGAAAGCCGACACTCTCTTCCATACCCCACCCCCAACCCCCACCAGTCAGGGGCTCAGATTGTCTTAAGCTGACCAGCACATCCCACTGCCCTGGCCACAGTGATTGGCTCAGGATCCAATGTGAGCCAATAAAACTGGAACCTTCTGGGAAAGAAACAACCTTGCTCTTTCTCACTGGATCTAACAAGAAACATGATTAACCAAATAGGAAACACAAAAGGTGAAACTTGCCAAAAATGGAGCCCCCACAAGAGAACACATTGGAAAATAGAAATAAACCAAACCTTGAGCCACCATTTTAAGCCTCACCGGAAGCCAACAGACTTCTAGACTTTTCAAATACAGAAACCAATAAATGCTTTTATTCTTAAAAATAAGTTTCTGTAATTTTAATAAAATAGACAGTGCTAGTTATAGTAAAGAGGTAGGCAAAAAACATTCATTGAGTTTTTGTGAGAATATAAATATAGAGCAGTGTATGCATTCATTTCTTCATTCAATACACATTTATTGAGCATCTACAATGCCACAGGTAGATAGATTTACAGGCAGAAAAATCATGTGAACTACCATTAATATGATTTCAAGTTTATTTTCCTAGAACTTTCTAGGAATGATAATTTATTCTTTCATTTACTCAATTCAACAAATATTTTTTGGGCACCTACCATGTGTTAGTCCAATATTTCTCAGAAATGATTTCCGTTGTGACTAGCAGGACTTGTTTGTGGGAAAAACATTGGTTCATAACTATGAAAATGAACTCACATTACCAGTCCAAATTACAAAGCCAAAACTTTGCACCATTGCTCAATTCTTTTTGCTATGTAAATGGAACTACAAAAAAAAAGAGAGAAATGAATGTATTAAGTTAAACTTTCATATAATTATCGTCAGATTCAATTTGGATTTTATAAGTGGTAAGAAAAATAGCTGAGTCTTTAAACATTGTTACATTTCCTTATTATACAAATACATCCTGTAGAAATTGAAATGTATTTAAATCTGACTTCATAAGTCTGTACACATTGGTCTACAGAGCATTTGTCCTCACAGCACAAAAGGCTCACACAATGGTGATTGAGCCCGAGAAAATGAATCTTACTTATGTTTGTTTTAAACAGTATGATATATAATCCATCTTAGTAGTAACACAATATTTCGAAGCTACATTTGGAAAGGAAATTCCTAAAGCTTAGAATCTTCAGTGAGTTTATAACCTTAGTAAGTCTTTAAATTATGATAGACACCTGTAAATTGTCTTTGTATTGTAACAGTTTGATCAGCGATTAACTTTAGCTTCACAAACAACATTAGAAATGTTCTTTAGAATAGGCTGCCTGAGACCCAGTTTCACATGTTCTATGCCAAATGGATATTTCCATTTGAAAATCCTATTGTCAGCTCAAAATCAACACATGCCCAATACTTAAATTAATCTTTCTTTCTCAGTTCCATTCCTAGCCACTCTCACCCTGCCCCCAGGCAATCAGTATCATGACTTCAACGCAAATCACTGCATCATCATTCCTGTCATGCATCTATGCACCGATATATAATATATAGTGATATTTGTGTGCATGTTAAAAATCTCCATAAGGAAGTCAACATGTATTTTTATTTTTTCATCAACATATTTTTGAGATCCAGCATGCTCGTTTATCAACCTCTTGTTAATATCTTTAAAGGGCTGATAGTATTTTACCTATTAATAAATTTTTAAAATCCATATTCATATTGGGGGACATTTATGTTGCTTCTAATTTATCTCTATTAGAAATAATGCTGCAGGGTGTATTTTTGAATACTTTGTCCATGAGTTTCCCTGGGGTGTTCATATCCAAGTTGACTTGCTGGGGTTTTTGGTTATCATAGAGGCAGGCACACTTACTAGGTATGGTTTTCCAAACACGTTATGCCAATTTAACTCTATCAGCTGAGTTTGAACATTCTCTTTTCTTCACATTTTTGACAACATTTAGTATTTCATCTACATTTTCAACTTGAAATTCCCTAATCTAAAACCACCTTTGACAAATCTCCAAAACATTATTTGCAACACAATTTGTTATGCCACTAGATGCCTCAGCACTCTTTAGCTAATTTGTACTAAAACCCTGTGCTATAAGACACCTTCATGACACACAATCCATTTTAACGAACTAAAGTTTCTAATCACATAGCCAAATACTGAACTTCCTCTCAGATTCCCATGACCAGAATTTTGGCAACTATTGCAGTCCAACCTCCTAAAATATAACCACTGAAGAAATTTAATTAAGCATGTGTAACCTCTTGTGCAGGCCCCCAACATCATTCTCCATGGGATACAATTAACAGAATGTGGGGACACAGTCACTTTTATATATTGCTGATGGGACTGCAAATTGATTGATGCATTAACTTTGGTGTGTCATTTGACCACATCTAGTAAAATGAAAACTCCACATTGATTGTATTGAGTTTTTTTTTTCAGCCAAACTCATTTGGCAAAAAGTACTATTATATTTTATAAACATTTTAAATTAAATTTCTTTGATTTTTAGTGTGGCTGAACATCTTTTCACACATATATTGGCCTTCTGTATTTCTTTTTTTTTTTCTTTTGCTTAATTTCCAGTTTATATCTTTTGTTCATTTTTCTTTTGGGCCATTTGTATTGCCCTCTTCATATGTAATAGTACTTTCTATATTAAGGGTACTATTCCCTAGTTTAATTTCCATTGTATTTGTGTAAATTTGCAAATAACTTTA